TCACTCACCTCATAGTTCTAGCCGACCTGTGACAATGAGACTGTCACAGAGCCGACATGACCCCGTATTTTATATTTTACCAAAAAAAATGGGTAATAATAAATATTTCATAACATAACATTAGGGAGGGAAACAGGTTTTTTTTTTAAAATGTCAGTATTTTTTTCTTTACATAGTAAAAAATAAAAACCGCAGTGGTGATTGAATACCACCAAAAGAAAGCTCTATCTGTCCCCAAAAAATGATTTAAAATTCATTTCAGTACAGCGTTCCATGACTGAATAAATGTCAAAGTACTGCAGCGCTGAATACTGCAGAATGGCCGGGACAGGAAGGGGGTTAAACACCTCGGGGCTTCGAGTGGTTAATTAAATTGTATCTAATAATGTATAAGGGAGATTCAATGGCTGTTTTGCTATAGAACTTTACTACTTGGGTGCAATGAGAGTCTGGCAGTTTCTCATAGATCAGTTTTATTTTCAGGGTCATATTCTGTGACATTATGCATGGATCATAAAAGAGTGTATAGCATAGGGACAAATTCCCGTAAGACCAGATACCTTCCTCTTGGCTGTGATATATTAAATCGGCAGAAGCCGTGTTACTGAGCTAAGACAATTCTGTTAAAAAATATATGTGAAAGCTCTTGTAATGAATTCAAGGTTTTTTTTATTTTTTTTATATGTCTCAATCTGCTTTAACTGTATAAGTCCCGTGTTCCCTCAAAATAAGCCAGGGCCAGGTCGCCAATGCAGACATCCCAACTCTCCTGGACGCTCACCGAGTCTCCCATTATTAGATAGTGGCTCCCGGCCGCCCGGGAGAGGAACATTTTCTCCCGGAAAGGTTACTCTGCTATATCTAGCAGAGTAAACCTTTCCCTGCGAACATAGGAATGCATAGCTAGATTCCTATTGGCTAATTCACTTTGCAATAGCCAATAGCAGACTAGCTAGTGCACCTGCCCACTGCTGCTGTCAATCAGCAGAGGGGGACCTGAAGTTTTCCATCAGGTCCTCTTCTAGTGATTGACAGCAGAAGAGGGCGGTCTGCAATAGCCAACTTGCTATTGGATATTGCAAATTGAAATAGCCAATAGCAATATAGCTATTAGTTCCTATGCTGTTTTTTTTTTTCTTTTTTAATTTATTCTGAGGACAGCAGAACACACAAAAAAAAAA